GGGGGTGGGCACTGGGGGGGTGTGGGGCAGGGGGTGGGCAGGGAAAGGGGCAGGGTGGATGCATCAAGAGGTGGGAAGGAACAGAGGTAAAGCTATCCACAAATGAGTCTCTTGTTTTTCTGGGAGAATCTATTGCCCTAAAACCCTTGTAAAGCTGAAGTCATCATTAAGCAAATGCACTGAGCAGGCACAGCAGGAGAACAGCTAAACAAATATTTATTTCTCCAAAGCTGAATCACATGGGAGTGTCAACAACAGCAACAGCAAAAAGTACAAAGTCTGGAGGGTGGAGGGAAACACTAAAGACTTTGAAGTTCTTAAATAGGGATATTTGTATAAAATCAACAGTAATTTGTTATTAAAACACACAGATATATTAAAGCTCACAGGACTCTGCTTCCCAGCTTGTGTGAGAAAATTCAGTGAATAAATAGCTATCTACAGGATTAGGAGGCACCAAGCAAAAAGAATCCAGTGTTGAAAGAGCAGAGCAGAAAGAGTGAAGGATTCCCCCACTTTCTAGTGAGAAGAAACCCAGCAGAAAACTACACCTGCATTTCACGTACACTTGAGAGGCTGAAGGTGTGTTGACCCTCTCTTTGCATCTCAGACATTAGTGCCTGCTTCCACAGGCCCTCCTACAAGATTTCTTTCTCCTCCCCATGCTGTGCTGAATGCCTTCTGGATGACTGGTTTCCCCATTGGGAATGACAGTGAACAGCCAGGCAGCACAAAGAAATTTGTAAACCAATTGGACCTTATTCAGACATTGCAGCAGACAAAGAGATGTGTGGAAGAAAATAAGAAAAAAAATGCATGCAAATTCCTTCTGGAGTGGTCTCAAAGCAGAAAAAAATCTTGGCCCTTGATCAGACCTCTCAATGTGCCAAAATCCCTGTCTCAGGGCACTCTTGTCTCTTGGCTGGTGACTACCATGCAGTGTCTCTCCTCAGTGAATTAAGACCCCTGGTAGCTATCTTAAAAGCTCAACAGCCTAGGCAGCTTGCATATGGCTGAAGGCTCCTTGGTTTCTCAGCACTGCTCCATCATCCTGTTAACAAGTACTGGACTGAGCAGTCCATATTCACAAAGTAAGGGCAGGCAGTTTACTGTCTGCCTCTACATGCCTGTATCAATCTGTCACAAGAGTGGCTCCAAAAGACAGAGAGGGAGAATAGCCCATTTCTCACACATCTGAGACCGAATTTGCCCAAGTCCACCCTTTGGTGTCCTGATGGACTTGGTTCTGATTGATGGGAGTTTCCCCTGGCGGGACCTCCTCCTCATTGTATGTGTGACTTCACAGAGGGCTTGCCTTGCTACAGCATCAGAAAATCTCAGGTTGCACAAAAGGGAAAATTTGAGGCAAAACCCAGTAAATCTGGGTCCTCTGTTCAGTGGAAGAAACTGTGCTAAAAAGGGCTGAAATGTCAAGGAGGCTCAGTGTCCAGCCAGTGATGGATGGGAGCTTCAATTCTACCTTTCACTAGTGGCAGTGCAAAGGGACAGGGTACAAAAGGTTACTTTCTCATACAGGACTTTTAGGGAATGAATCTTTGTTGCCTTCTGAAATT